TTCTACCAATTTTATACAAGAGTTCATTGGAGTTACTCCTGATTTACAACCAGTTTGCAAGATAATCAGCCATGTGAGTGTAGCTAAATGCTACAGGATTTTAATTCAGTAGTGATAATATAGTCCAGGTAAGCAGGAAAAAATCGCCAGAGTAGCTAATGTGCACAGGAGCTATGGACAAATCAAACTGCCTTGGTTTTGCCAAAGTATGTAACGTATCTCACCCTACCCTGGCAATTATTTGATAAATACAGTTATTTCAGTCAAAGCTGCTTCAAGATGAAAAAGAAAAGCAAAAGTCAGAATCTTTAAATGTCTTAGGTGGAAAAAGTAGCTTGTTCTGTTTAACCAGAGGTCTGTGACACACATCTTATTATGAAATCACGGTTGGCATGGAGTCAGGCATATGTGCTGTATTACATCGTGTCATGTCCCACCAAGGCATTGACCTCGTTTGCACCACAAAGCTGTGGAAGGACTGACAGGCTAAATCCCATCTGAGTATGTTGCTACTTTGTCATATTTGACAAGTGCACACAGAATGCCAGTTTCCCCCCATTAGAATGATTCCTGGAACACTCCTACCAGCAGCTAGAAAGAAAGAGAACACCTGGGTAAAGTAGCTGCTGCTGCTTTCTGTTCCTGGTTCTAGGCTCCTTTGTTGTCCTGCATACCCCTATCTCCCTTGTCCGCACCCTTCTGCTGCTGCCCGACTAAGGCGAGCTGGTCTGTAAATTAGCAGGAGGGGGTCTGAAGCCAGATAGTTTGCATCGCAAATTCATAGAACCACAAACTGAAAAAAGCTGTTGAGCCATCATTGTTTATAATTAGTTTTTGACTGAAGTCCCAGTCTGCTATAGGGAATGGTTTTATCTTTGTGTATGTGTGGGTGGGAAAAGAAAAGTAGAGAACTGAATCAAGGAACCAATCCTTATCCTGAGGGGAAGAAAGAATAGGGTAGTATAATCTACCCCCATGGGATCAAAGGTGGGGCCAACACAGACATAAACACCCTTACGCTATGTTCTGTCTCCCTGTTTTTGCTGATTTAAATACTAAATAGTAAGTTGGGACAACAAAGCTCTTACCCTGCAGATGCACACCTTCTTTTCTTTTGGTCAGGTGGTGATTGGCAACCCTCAGTTTGTTCAGTGTCTGAAGTGCTCTCCAGTCTGTTCAGGCCTGATGCACCGTGACATTTCAGCCCCTGGAATAAGCTATGTAAGAAGTTCTTCCATCACAGTTCATTTCCCACTGCAGGGTAAGGGAAAAAGGGAGACAATTGCACACTGAGGCACCAAAATCCAGTCTGTAACTGTGCAAAGGATTTGCCTGTAGGAAAACTGTTGTCCAGCTCCCTGAGTGTGAGCAGCCACAGGACTCCAACCAAAACACCCCATCTCTTGGCTGGAGCTGGCAATGGGGACTCTTTGCTGCTCTGCCATCGGCCCACATATCCTAGGGAAAAAACCTCCAAATGCTTTTTGTGCCCTGGCTCCCCCAGCCACTGATGAGCTATAATAAAGCCTGCCTTACATCTCACAAGAATGTCAAGTGGTTTAATGCGTGTTTACAAAAGGACCCAGAGATTTCTGGATGAAAGACATTCTATAAGCACCATGTGGTTTGATGTGCTGCCATCTTGGTACCCGAAGGATAACTTTAAGCATACAAAAACCTGTATTCAGGCTCCTGTGTTCTGGGAGGGCATCTGCCTGCCTGCAGAATGAAAATCTGCTCAGACCAGAATTAGCTGATGAATGAAAAAAACCCGCCTCAAATATTTTAGTCTGTGTTCCCAAACACAGTATGCTACTTGTTATATACCACTGCAGCGGCAAGTCATTGTCTAAAAAAAAAAAAAAAAAAAAAATTAACAAAAAAATTTAAAAACCCTCAGCCACAAGATGCATTCTTCTTGCAGCTGGACTGTGGGCACTTCTAAGTCTCTCATAGTCCACATAATTAAGTGCTGTGCTGAAAACTGTTACATTTGTTCCAAAACACATGGTAATCAAACAAAATAATAATATAAAAAAGGTATACTGAATTTTTTTTCTTTGGCATTTGGTCATGTTCATCTGATTGCATATTTTCATCTCAGGATAATTTCAATATTTAAGGGCACATGGAATTCTGCTAAGAAAAAATAGTTTGAATAGATTTGGATTATAGTAACTCCTAGATAGCACTTCAGCAGTAAATTCATTTTAGTATTTATTCTAGAGAAAGAAACACAGATGAGATGGGATTTCCTAGGTCCTGATTTCCAGCCCCCTGTTCTTGCAGCAGCCTTGTGGTAGAATGCATTGATTACAGTGAGCAAGCTTCACCTTAACAGTAACTGGAAGGGGAGAGGCTGCTCCAGAGAACCCTTCTCCAACCCCTTGCTCCTCTGGTCAAAATGTTCTTCTGACCTCCTGCCTATTTAGGCAGTATTAGGAGCATTAGGTGTATTTCTTGCTAGCACATATTACTTTGTTGTCCCAGTAACCCTGTCCTCTAGCTGCAGCAGCCCTTCTCATCCTACCTGCTGAAGGTAGGTGTGAGGCTTCCTTGAATCTCTTGATGTCAACAGTTTTCAGTGAAGAACATGAATAAAGGTATGCAGGAGAAATTTCCTTCTGTGGCCAGACATCTAGGCTTCCTCAAAGCAGCTGCCGTCTCGCTGTCTGCTGTTCTTTGTTTTAGAGAACATGGGAATGTCAAGAAGCTCGGAGCTCATATGTGGGAAAGGCAGCTGGAGAGTTGCACGGGGCGCTGCCCAGTTCTCTTAGCCCTCAGTACCAGGGTTCAGAGAGATTCACTTCTATTTTGCTGGTGGACTTGGGGTTTATGTTTCACATCTAAGCACATGACAGAAACTAATTGGTCATGGAGTGAGAGAGTCCGTAACAAAACCGTTCGCGCTAGACACTGATTTCCCAGTGGAAAGCCCATCTGAGCTCTGATCTTGTCTTCACTGACTTAAATGGGGAAGTACGGTAAGAGTTGGGTTGGAAGCTTAGCAAAATGCAGGAAGTTATTATCCGACAGTTAATTGACTATTTCCACCTTCAGATGTTTAATTTCTTTTTAATGAATGCGGGGAAGTCTTTGCAGAGAGACGTTTCCCCCCACTCCCCATAATGTAGAGCAATTCCTTCCTAATCTGGTAGTGGTTCTCCAGCAGAAACAATCTCCATTTGTGCAATTGGACTCATTAACCAAGTTGTGTCCTGGAGGACAGGGAAAAGCTGTATGGATGAAATAAGGTAACTGAGTAGGAAGTTAAAAGAACCTCTGTATTTAATTTGTATATAAGTTTGTGCATATTCTTATTCTTAGATGTAAGCAGCAAATGAAAAAATCTTCGGTTTACCACTTAACATGGGTACTCAGTAGCATTAAATAATTCTATAGATGAGAAATTAATGTGACCAATTATCATATCAAAGCAAAGCAGTTGTTACTACTAAGCCGAATGAATAGTGTCCACCCACCTTTCACTCATTTTCTGCAGGCATCTAAGTGTTAGCCTGCACAGAGTTCCAGAGGGCAACTTCTACTTGCACTAACTTGCTTGCTCAAGGACATAACTTTGTGCTGAGCACACCACTTTACATTATCTGGCTGTAATCCAAGGCTATCGACTTCAGTGGCAAATCACCCACTGACTTCAGTGATGCCAAGAGGAATTCTGTAAGGGCGTTGTAAACTTATCTCCAAGTGATTATACATTGCTGCATTCCTACCAGAGGTGTTAAGGATGCAAACAGGTTTAGCATACATAACAGTGAGGCCTACTGTTTTGTACTCTTTCGAAGCGAGGAAGAAATCAAGGCACTAAAAAGCACAACCGTGTATCTATTTGGAATGAAGTATCTTTGCAGAAGGTGGGAAAATTAAAAGGTATTTTCTAAATTTCTTGAGTCCTCCTTTTACACAAAATGATTTCCTAACTTCCTGCTGTCTCCTCTGTCTTTTGCAAAAGATACGCCCATCTCATCAGCAGCAGAAATGCAGTGTGCTACTTCAGTGCTCCAACCAGCGAGGTGCACCTAGCAGTGCGATCGCATTGAGCAATTTGTAGATACATCTGAGCTGTAAAGGTTTCTGAGCAAATACTAACAATGAGCATGCAAATAACAGCCTGTTAGTTGGCTGTGTGGCAAGTACAAAACCCAAAAGGGCTGAGGTTAGGTGATAAAAAGTTTGAGAAGGCAAAAAAACAAAAGCATGAGAAGGCTCAAAGAATTCCAGCACCACTGACCTGGGAGAAAGACTGATAAACTGTTGAAACCCTCCCATGTCCATTTTGCATTTGATGTATCAGACTGATTCTTTCTGACTTTTGTTCATCTCCGGACATTTTAGAAACTAGCAAGCACAGTCAGCCTGATCGAAGGGCTTGCTCCAGAACTAATCCCAGGCTGACACCTACAGCTCTTCAGGGAGCTGGGATTTTCCTTTGGGGGCTGGAGTTTAGCCCCTCCCGCTGTATCTGGCCCATGAGGAGACTTCCAAAAAGTCCTGACTGCCAGAATTATATTAAAAACAAGAGAAAGGAAGACAGTAAGGCAGCAAGAGAGTTCCAGTGAGATCCTAAGGGGAAACCATCAATTCCCACATCTGGTTTGCAGATCTGTGGTGGTCCAGGAAGCACTTTCAGGTGGTCTCCAGAGCTGTTCCCATCACAGTAGTAGCTCTCAAGCACTACCGTTTCCCGCTAGTTATAGCCCGGGCTCTGAGTCTTTTAGTAACACTAGTACTGAATGGATGAGGAGTCAGCTTGGGGCCTCAGTTTTGGTTTGCCAGAGATCAGATATGTAGGGCCACGTTTGGACAGTGTTTCTAATATTTAGTAGACTCCTGTTCCTCAGTGAGTCTGTCTGGCTTTCAGGGGGGCTGCTGTGGGATCAGGAACTACTCAGCACGAATAAGGAGGTCAGAATCTGCCCTTTAAGCTGGGAGAATAACATCCATTAAAAGTACAGCATTTCTGTTTCACATTTTCACAGCTTTTACAACTGGGATAGAAATGTCAGCACTTCAAATTCCAGCCCAAATTACCAAGTGATTGCAGAAAATGCCTGTGGACTCCTCTTCAAGAACAAAAGCGATAGGAAAATAATAAATGTGGATCCCAAGGTAAATGTCTTTTTTTTTTCCCTACCCTCACTATTCTAAACTGTCTTTATGCAATGGAGATTGACTGCTGAACTGTTGAGTGTGATTGCAAATAGTGTTTTTACCAATATACACCTAATATTTCAAGCATATTCAGACATGCTGTTCCCCTTGTTAACACAGCTGCTGTGGTCCCTGTCAGGATAAACTTAGCCAACCTTGTTTATGACTGAGTGTGTCTAGACCTTTCCCCTGTGACGATGAAAATCAGAAGTTGAACTGACTGATAAAACTGCAAGATTTCCAAAGCAGGGTTTCCCTTATACCCTGCCCCTTTCCCTGCCCTTTTTCATTCCATCCAGAACAAGAAACTGTTGCCATCGCTGCCAGGATAGGCTGCAGGCTAAGGCTACATACATCCTATTAATTGAGTTGCCGAGAAGAGCTAAGGAAGGGGAAGCATGGGAGAGGGAATAGGCTGAGGAGGAAGGTGGGGACTGACGGGAAGATGTGAGGACTGAAGCATGGGAGTGTATAAGCAGGTACATCTGGTATGGAAAGACACACTGTGTTTTACTCGGAGGATGACACTTGTGCCTCTAGCTAAAAGGAAAAATTGCAAAAATATTGGTGACACATTGTGGGGCTGGTGGTCCCTGTACCCATCTCCTCTGAAAAATCAAATCTCTATTATGAAACATGCCTGCAGCTATTAAAATTAAGTAAATTAAGTAAATATTAGGCTACTTTGAAACAAAAGCTGCAACTCACAGCAACTGTAGTATCCCAAATCCTGGCAGGGCCTGCTGAACACCAGCAAATCCAGAAAGAACAATCGGTTCCTGCATCCCAAATGTGGGCCATCCTCTACCCCAGCACTTTTGCAGTGGTGAACCGAAACTGGCAGAGCTCCTTTCCCAACTGCACACAGTCCTTATTCTTCCTCCTTAATACAAAAGATTTAAGAAGTCCTAAGGAAAGCGGTCCCATTAAGATCATTGAGTTCTCGTAGCAGCTTGCAATTATCAGTGGCATCAGGGTCAAAGTTGGATTTTAAACCCTGTCCCTCACAAAAGAAAAATTTGACACTAGATGCATCTTCTTGTGGAAAACTGTTTCTCCAGCATGCAGTAAATTGTTCAGAAGGATTTACAATTGCATAAAAGAAAGGAAAATACTTGTGTCTCAGTGGTGCTATAAACTGGAGGAACGTTGTGGACTGTGTCTGTCATATGTGATTGACAGCACAAACGTATGCTTTGCTTTCACCTAAAAACAGCTCTGATCCTACTGTTGCTGACGTTGATTGGTCTCTACCATTTATTTACATAGCAGTTGAATCTGAACAAGGCAAATGCTCGAGTTGTACCCGGACATCCCATTTTCAGGCCTAGTTGAAAGCTGATTAAATTGCCGTGGGTATTTCATCTTTCATGTTGGGAGCTGAGTGAGTAATAATAATATTATAGACAGCTTCCTTCTATAAGAAACTGCCTGTGTTCCTCTGGTGCTAACCGCACTTTTTTAAACTTTACAACTGAAGTCCTTGGACCATAGATTGGATGTGACAAACACACCCAGGCTTTGGTTACTCTCAAAACCAACATGAACTAAGCTGGGCAATAATTTGTTTGGGTTTCTACAGAACTGATCTAGGATGATGGTTTCTTTGATGTGCTTGCCATGAAAGATGGTTGCATATGAATAGTAACAGTACAAAATATCAAATTATATGCATTTCAAAATAAGTGCATTGGTTTGTTAGAAATTCAAAAATGCATACCTAAAAATGTGTTTGGTTGCATTGAAAGTGGGCCACTGATCCAACTTCCTGCAGCTGCACAACATCTGTAACAAATAACCAGCTCTTTAGTGTCTATGTGAAAGATCCTTGCTTGCCAAGAGCCACACTAAGAAGTGTTTGTGTGTGTACATTGTGTCCCCACGCAGGTTGTGGGGCACCGGCCTGTGAGTCCCCATGAGATCCATCTGGCTTTGGCTTTTGTGTAACACTCACTGATGGAGAACAAGCTTTTGAGAAGTGCTTGCTATGGCCCAAACTGAAATCAGCACAAATTCTCTGTCATGGTGTTCAGCTTGAACAGACTTAGTACCAGCAGACTGATTTTTGCAGGCAGGCCTCCTCTTTGATCAGTTGACGGTCCACTTGTTCCTAGTTGTATTTAGCAAAAAGAACTCTATCACGGTCTTTACATCTGCTAAAAGCATTGCAGGAGAAACAAACTGCCCTGTGCCAGGACATTAGTTTTGACTGAGAAATCTCTACCTTCAGAGCTAGTTGCATTTGTCAAACTTTATGTTCCAAGAGAAAAAGAAGAAAATTCATGACATTAAAAACCATGTCTTTTCTCTCTCCTGACCAGGTATCTGTAATATTCTGTGTTTCAGGCCTACCCAGGAGACAGCACAACACGGACACCCATTGAAACAGATCTCTATCTCCATGTTGTTATCTATGACCATTTCATTAGAAGAGGGACCTAAGATCCACCTGTGTGGCTTTTCTCCCAGTGGTTTGATTAACTCTTTTAAGGTCATCTGGAAGAAAAAGGAACAGTTGACACATCTTTACCTTGTATTCGAGGGTAGGAAGGGGAGGATTTTTATGCTGGTCTAGAGTTAGCTTGTGACTCACTCCTTGAGGGAAATAAAATGGAAGGAAGACCCTGTATTGGCTGTAGAATCCATCTATCTGGGCCCCTATTTGACCTTCATGAAGCCCGTGGGGTATGTGAATAGCAAAAGCACCTAAAGGGAAGACAGGAGGTTTGGACCCAACTTTTCCCACTACTCCTAAGGCAGCAGGGTGGCTGGAACTGAGGTGCTGCATTCTTTCCTGAAGTAAAGAAACTACTGTCCCATAGTTCCCCAGGTTGTTTTAAATTCTTCCTGGGAAACTTTTTCAGGTAGTCCTGGAGCTCTGTTGAGCAGCTAACACTGTGTAATATGGACGAAGCCATTCACAGGGTAGCAGAGAGAAGTTGTACCAAATAGACTGGTAAACGTAAAGAAATCTGCAGCATTTTCGTGGTATTAGTGGTTCCTTGAAGGCCACTTTTCATCCATTCCTGCTCTTGCTGCTGTTCTAGTACCAACTTGCCAGAAGTTCAGGCAGCAACACAATGGCCCAAGGGACTCTATTCCATTCCCAGGGCACTTGGGGAAGTTGCCCGTACTTACATGACCCAGCTGGTATAACCACCAACGTAGCTGACTGCTTACTGGAGAACTGGAAGACAGCACAAAGCTAAGCAGCAGAAAGAACTAGCAGGAAAAAAAAGCAATAATTACAGAGAAAAGTAAAAGGATGTGGAGGAGAAGGCAGAGGAAACAGAGGCAAGAGAGTGTCTGGATAAAATTCCCTGGACCTTATTCTTTTAAGGACTGGATGATTTTAATGATCTTTTCTGTCTTTGGTACTGTGAATTTGTGAAAAGGACAAGTGAGGCAACTCGGACAAGAAAAAAGATGGTAGCAGCGCTGCTAGGCTTACCATAGGGTGGGGTTTATCTGCCAGCCTCATCACAAGCATGTTCCCGTTGGAAAAGGCTGAGAGCCTCGGTCTTAGCAGTTGGCGCATTAAAGATCCCTTTACTGCAAGGAGAGGGAGTGTTCCAACAATTACAAAGTGAAAGTTGTTACTTCAAAGCTGCAGTAATTTGGGAGAGACTTAGAAGTCTTCTTTTCTTTCCCATAAAACTTTCGATGTTATGAAGTTCTACCATTTCCAAAATATAATAAAATCTTTCACTGTAACGTCTTGCTTTTATATAGAGCACTTCATCCTCTAGCACCCTAACATTTTTGCAGCAGATAGGCAACCTGGAGGTTCATTTACTCATCCCTGAACTGCAGCCAGGCTGCGAAGGAAGCACTCAGGGAGGTGCCAGGCCTCATCTCACCGAGCTCCTGCCACTGCTCCATTGCTGGGTCGGCAGAGCCCCCCCATGCGGATGGAGCAAGTGCCAGCAGGGGGGCTTTGCCAGCCCCTACTAGAGCCCTTCACTTCAAAGTGGGGGGAATACCAAGTGAAAAGCCTGCCCAGAGCAAACAGGCAAAAAATGGCAATGCTTCTTCTCAGAGCTATTAATGGAGAGAAAAAAAGGCCAAGGCTGCAGTAACTCTGATTTTGCAGAGAGCTGTGCACTGGAAACGTACGTCTCCAGAGTGAAGACCTTGTGCCATTAGGGCAGGCTTCTCCTGACCTTGGTGCTTCCAGGTGTTTCCCTCATGTAACAGTACCAAACAAAGATTTCCATCATTCCTTGCATCTCACCTGAAAACTAGGCTTCTGGCATTGACTCAGCTTTGCTTTACTGCCCCCGTGTCTTGGGGCAGCTCAAGGGAAGGGCTAGATACTAACTCACAAATATTTTCGTAGCATTAAAGCCAATTTGCCTCTATAGTATACGTTAGCATTTGGGATATAATTTTTTCAAGAAGAAAATCAGAACTCCTGAGCCATTTTGAAGACATTAGGTTTTGCCTCTCTTGAGCACTGGAGAGGGAGAAATCCTCATCATGAAGGCTGGTAGAAGGGACAATAGGTGGAAAGGGTATGAACTACATTTTTCATTCCTCTTGATAAATGAATTGTAATTTTTCTTTCTCAATCTAATTGGATTTTAAAGTAATGTTAAAAAACCTAAGTTGGAAAGTGGTCCCTAATTTGGAGAACATTATCTCAGAATCATAATAAATAAATAACCTGAAATAAGACTTAATAGAAGTAAATTTTCAACTGTAGAAGTTATTTCCACAAATTCAGCTTCCTTTGTTTTCATCTTACTAATCAATGCTCTTGATTCAAAAGAACGGCAGGAAGTCTAGGAGGATCCTATGTTTACATCTGCAAGAAAATGGAAGGAAATTTGGATCTAAGTGGACTTTACATGTTTTCAGTCAGTGAGTGCACCAGTGTACTGTATATCTCTAAGGGTAGGTAACTGGAAGGCTGTAAAGATGTAAGAAGCCTCATCTTTTGCAGCCAATGCTGACATCCTATGGAATTGGAATTTCATGCTATTTCTGACTCAGGTGATAAACCTCATTTGGGGCAAAAGGTAAACTGTAATATCTGCAATAAAGGAATAGTATTCATCGAGTAATTCACAGAATTAGTGGCTGCTCAGTAAACTCAGTTGATTCCTTCCTACGTATCCTTGCCTATGAACTAATCTCTTGGTGTTCTAGGACCCCAGAGCATTATCATAAATGAAAGCTCCTGAGTTACATGTTATAGTCCTTTGCTAATCCTTTCTGGAAGAAACTTTGGCCTCTGCTGTAAGTAAAATCTGTCCCCAAAACACTTCTGTTAATCTGGCTTGCATTTTAAAGAAAAGGTTAATTTTCTTAGACAAACAGGATAGTGCCTAAAAGCAACTAAGTGCTGTTACACTTCATTTCCCTAAACTGTCAGTGGTGGTTTTCCCCACCATCTTGTCACTGTTCAGCCCTGGGTAGACACTCAGTGAAGTGGACATGCAAAACATATGGTGATCAAGAGAGAAGCTTTCCAAGGACTGATAACCACATGAAAGCTTCCTGTATATGTTCTTATGCTCTATGACTTCTTAGAAGAAACAAATGCAAACTGTCCAGCCTGAAATTATTGCCTGCTATAAACGTAAGGTGAATGGAAATTTCTCTATTCTGTTCTGAAAAGAGACTGGTATAGTTCACTGGTCTTGACATTTACTGCAGGTACAGAGTTTGCACGGTGCCGTAATATAACTGATTTCAGGCATCGATGGGAAAGTGCATCCTTGCAAAGGATCCCCCAGAGCTCTAGATTTTATACCAGTGGGGGGTTTTGTGTGGTTTGTTTTTTTTTCAACCATGTTTAAGCTGAGTACATGAGTTACAACCTACAGGTTATATATATAGATTTTGGATTGGTTAATATTTCTTTACCTCCTCACCCAAATTCATAGTTGTGTTCTCTTTTTGTGGAGTTTGGATCTTTGGTCTTGCAACAATGTTCGGAACTGTTGCTATTGTTATTTTGGATAAGAGAGTAAAGCTCAAAAGTAACACGAGATTGGTGGTGAACAGCTCCATCCTGAGCCACAAGCAGAATCACAGGAAGAGGAGTTATTTACTACAAAATGCAATGCTTTGAAAAGAAAAGTCATTTTAAACCAAAATGTGAAGTTCTTTGTTCTTTAACTGTTCACAGCAGGACACTTTGATGTAGTTAGAAACTTTTCATAAGATGTGAAATGAAATTCTGGTGCTTCAGTGTGATTTTATGGAGGGGCATTGGCAGCTTTGCATTCTCTGACCAAAAGTGGTTTTGCAGAAGGCCAGCTGCCTGAGGACCCCAAGCAATGGCGGTAATTAAGCCCCACTTTTGAATTTGGTAGCTGTACAGTGAGGTACAACAGGCCTTCATGAATTCTAAGTTCATGATTGCAGCAGCAGCCTTGTCAATCTAGCTGCATCTTCAAAGCTGAAAGAAGGAAATGGGGAATGGCAGCACCACCTTAATAGCTGACCCCTATCTCATGTAACGAACGAGAAGACCTCCAAGAAGCATACAGTTTGGTCATGAGTTGGTTCTTGTTTTGGCCATCAGCAAAAGAGGTTGTAGGGGAAAGTCCTCCATTAACTCCAACTCCCCACATACAGAAAAGAAATCAGATTAAAAATGACTAAAACGTTTGGGCAGTTCTCTGCAAGGCAGGCAGGGACAAGCAGTGCAGGCCAAGCCACTGTTCCCACTGCAAAGAAAACAAAAACACAGGTGCTGAATGTACTGAAGCCATGCAGATTAGCCCTGTGTGCAGTACGCGCTCTTTACAAGAAGGAAAAACATCACTCTTGTTATTTGGCTATTGTTCGCTTGAGGCGTGTTTTATTTCAGCTCAACTCCAAGCAGAGTTATTACAGATCCCACAGCAGAAGTTCTCTGTGATGAGAGAAACATGTGATCTCTGGGCCCTAGAGAAGGAATTATGCTGCGAAGGCACCTCCGGCAGGAAGGCTGATGCTGGCCACCTGAGCAAACACCCAGTCTAGTGAACGTAAAAAAGCAAGCACGATGAATGTAAGTAATGCCTGTACCCAGGAGTGATTTGGTGCAAGCTTCTCACCGTGACTCTGCCTAGTGAAAGGCTATTTTCTGTACACATCTCTAATACCAAGAGCAAGGAGATTCAAAGAAAGCAAGCGGTGCTTTGTTCCCCAATAAAAGGGGAGAGCTGGCTCTGCGTGTTGCAGTTTGTGTAATGCGATTCCAAGCACTGCTGGTGGATGTGCTGTTAAGTGTTCTTCTGTGCCAGTTATGAACTTCACAGTGTTGTACACGGGAATTTGTGTATATAAGGGATGTAGGAGAATGATACAGCTTAGGATAACTGTGTCATTCGGAGCTGACTGGGGAGGATTCTGCTGACTGGGCCACAAGCCTGAATGCACTGAGAAAATATAAGGTTTCTCTGGAGTGATGGCTTCTGGGGGCGCAGGATGACACACGTTAGCCAGAGATTATGGGTCTAGTAAGAGTGGTGGTGGGTCACTTCGTGGGCTTGGAGCCGTGCTGCCGGGCACAAAGCTGGTGCCACTGATCCAAAGACTTGGTGGCAGGAGCCCTGCCAGAGCAGAATACACAGAAGCCCATCTGAGGCAGGCAAACAGATGGTGCAGAGGGCCGGTGTGAGCCAGCCGAGGTGAAGCTGCAGGGGGGTATTCACCAGATGAGAGCAAGGAGAGCTCGATGTAGGAGCCACAGCAGTGGAGATTGCTTTTGTAAGTGAATTCTGGAAAGCCTGAAAGCCAGGCAACTAATAAGCACAAGTGTGGGATTGGCCTTCACATGCTGAACAGATTTTGCTAATATCACTTTGTTATGCAAATATGTAATTATTTCATTTCCCCCAGAGGGAGTATTTGTGGTTTCCTCTTCCCCAAGACTTCCGAATGCTTGTGTGGAGGGAACAAATAACTGTGAAGTTACCAGGTACATGCATTACATGGCAAGCCCTGAAAAAGTGGAAACCTGGAAGTTTTTGGTGGAGGTTTTAAATAGCACTTTTGAAAGGGGCTGCTGCAGGGTGGTGAGGCTGCCCCTGACAAGGGCACCGGAGTTGCTCACCATTTAAATAAACTTAATTAAGATTGAAACTTACTGTGTTCCCCGGGGCTAAGGAATAAAGAGGCTAGGTTGCCTCACAAACCAGAGACTGTGGTGGATCGGGATGGAGCTGTACTAGCAAGGAGCTGTTAGGTCCCTGCAGGGAGGGAGAAGGAGCTGCAGACCTGCCCAGAGCTGCACTGGCTGTAGCCAGGGAGGGTGATGATATCCTCACTGACGCAGGCGAGAACAAATGAGAAGCATCCACTGTGACTCCCTCTTTCTATAGCACCGTGGTAAAATAACTATAGGTGGGTGATCAGCTTGGAAAGTCCACTCCTGCCCCATTGTAAGGCATTGAACTTTTGTATTATTAAGGGGGAGACAGACAGTTGGCTTGTCTTATACACAGGCAGAATTTCAGATAGCTTCAGTTTGATCTTTGCCTTGAATATCTGCCTGCAAGTGCATCTGTAGACACACACACGTGCACACGCACACACCTGCTGGAGTTTGGTGCCTACTTTTAGAGCAGCATTATTTGACCTCTTCGCATTTTTCCTGTTTCTTTATAGAAAGGGGGAGCCAGGAAGGAAAGGGAGAAAAAAAAAAAAAAAAAAAGCCAAACCAGATTATCTATTATCTATAGCAGTCCAAATAGTTATCTCAGCTCTGCAGATGGAAATCTAGAGTGACCGTACTGGGTAGGACGGAGTCACTCCACAATCACACCGGTGTGTACACAGAATTTGTTCCATGCAGTGACAGTTATTCTTTGTCTGCATGTTTTGTAGCTCT